ATTTGTGAATTTCTCATGGTTTATGGACCAAATTAGTAACGAGACAGAAGTTGTGGAGTGCATGCTGCCGGGAATACAGCATGCACTCCAAAACTTCCTCTTCCTCATGGAAGATATAAATAAAGTTATTTAAAAACAAATTAGCAGGTCCAGCAGATAGAGGATAGCATAGTAGTTTTGATGCTGGACTCCCCAACAGCTGACAGTGGATTGAGTCCTAAACCCAGTGGCTTGAAAATCACACCAGGCACATGTAGGTGCATGTCCAAGATCCCAGGAGGAGAGGGGACTGTGGTGTGGTGATCCCCCCTGGGAGGTGATTCCTCACTTTCCTTCTCACGGTCCCTGTCCCTCTCTCTCTCTGGCAAGCACACATACCTTATGGCAAAATCCTCTAAAAAAAAAAAAAAAAAAGCCGTTATGGCCAGCTAGGTAGTCTAATGATTAAGGCAGTTAGATCCCACATGGCCAACTACATGGTTCGAGTCCCAGACCTGGAGGCTTGAAAAATGCACCTGGCCTGTGGTGCAGGTGTGACCAAAATCCCACAGGAGATTGGAGAACAGATTTCAGTGTGGCCATTCCTCCTAGGGAGTACTTTCTCATTTTTCTCTCTGTCTCTCTCTCTGCCTCTCTGGTGAGCATGTGTACTCTATAGCAATTCTTTCTTTTTTTTTTTTTTTTTTGAGAGGTTTTTGCTATAGGGCACATGCGCTCGCCAGACAGACAGAGAGAGACAGAGACAGAAAGCAGGAAATCACCCCCCAGGGAGGGTGGCCACGCCACAATCCCTTCTCCTCCATTCTCCTCTCGGGATCTTGGGCACGCACTCACCCCCTAGAGGGGGTGGCCACGCCGCAATCCCTTCTCCCCCATTCTCCTGTCTGGATCTTGGGCACGCACGCACACGCACCCAGCATGAGTTTAAGCCACCGGGTCCAGGACTCGAACCGTGGTCAACTACGTGGGAGTCCAGCGACATAGCCATTACGCTAACTGCTGGTCCCTATAGCAATTCTTTTTTAAAAAATTAACAATGAAGGGGGCCAACAGGTAGGATGGTGGCTAAGGTGCTATACTCCCAAATGACTGACCATGGTTCGAGTCCTGGAACTGGTAGCTTGTTTTCTTACTTTTCCTCTCTCTCTGTGTCTCTCTTTGGTCAAATTAAAATAATAATAATAATAATAATAATAATAACAAACAGGGGCCAGCAGGTAGCATGGTGGTGGACTCCCACTTGGCCGACTGTGGTTCAAGTCCTGGACCTGGTGGCTTACTTTCTCACTTTCTCTTTCACTTTCTCTCTCTCTGGCCCTCTTTGGTCAAATTAAAATAAATAAATAAAGTTAAATAAAATAATTTGGAAAAAAATAATAACAAAATTAAATAGTTCTTTATTAAAAGTTAGCAATGAAAATAAATAAATAAAAGGAGGACAAGTATGTGTCCTTCATAGGGTTGTTGTGGACATAAACGAGATAATATTAATACACTCAAATCACCCAGAACCATGCTGGTTCAGTAAACAATCAGTAAATGTGACTATCATTGTTCTTTTCTGTTTCTTCTAATAACTACCAGAGGGCACATGCACTTACCAGAGAAAGAGAGAGACAGCGAGAGTGCAAACGCCCCCAGTGAGGCATGGTCACACCGCAATCCCCTCCTCCATTTCTCCATCCTGGCAGGATTTGAGGTATGCATGCGCACATGCCTGGTCTGTTTTTTGCTTCTTTAAGGTTTATTCCCCCCCTCTATAGGCATATGGGCTCACCAGAGAGATGCAGAGAGAGAGAGAGGGAAAGTAAGAAATTGCCCCGAGGGGGTTGGCCAAGCCACGATCCTTTTTCCTCCAATCTCCTCTGAGGGTTTTGGGCACACACACACACACATCCCGCGTGATTTTCTTCCTCCTGGGTTCCAGGACTCCAACCGCACAGTCATGTGCGATCCAGCGCCCTAACTCCCATACCCCCTGCTGGCCCTGCCTGGCTTGCTTTAAAGCTGCCAGGGCTGGAATTTGAACCACTGTTGGCCACGTGAGACCTGGCTCCCTTAACCACCAGGCCACTGGGATGGCCCCGACATTGCTTTTTTTTTTTTTTTTTTTAGAGAGAAATTCTTTTGCTACAGGGCACACGCACTTGCCAGAGACAGAGACAGAAAGCAAAAAATCCCTTCTCCTCCATTCTCCTCTCAGGATCTTGGGCACGCACACCCAGCATGAGTTTTAAGCCGCTGGAGCCAGACTCAAACTGTGGTCGATTACGTGGGAGTCCAGCAACAAAACCATTCCGCCATCTGCCGGTCCCTTTACATTACTTTTCATCCCCGCTAAGGAGGAAAGACTGAGACTTAAAGATCCTGAGGATGTGCTCAAGATTGGTCCCACCAGTCTCTGTAATTAACTGCTACATAGCAGGAACCCCCACTGGGCATTGGCACCCAGCGTTTGCCTGCCTGAGAGAATCGCTTTGTGACGTGAATTACTTCCTGCATTTGCCATGTTTGAGTTTTACATGACAGAACAAAGATTTCATGAATACTTAGGGAATGCAATAGGCTAGTAACCATTCATTTCATTAGTCTCTCTGAAAAATTAATTTACTGGGACCAGCAGATGGAATAATGGCTACATCGCTGGACTCCCATGTAGTCGACCGCCATTCAAGTCCTGGACCCAGTGGCTTAAAACTCGCTGGGCGCATGTGGGTGCATGCCTAAAATCCCGAGAGCAGAATAGAGGAAAAGGGGTTGCAGCAGGGCCATCCCCCTAGAGGGTGATCTCTTACTTTCTGTCTCTCTCTGTGTCTCCTGTGAGCACACATGCCCTATGGCAAAACTCTCTCTCTCAAAAAAAAAATTAATCTATTGGTGGGACCATCAGGTGGCATGTTGGTTAAGGTGCTGGACTCCTACATGGCTGACTACAGTTTGAGTCCTGAACCCGGCAGCTTGTTTTCTCACTCTCTCTGTCTCTCTCTCTTTGGTGAGGGCACGTAATCTGTAGCAAATAAAAAAATAATAATAATGGTCGGGGCCAGTAGGTGCGTGGCGTGGTGGTTAAGGGAGCTGGACCCCATATGTGGTGACTGTGGTTCAAATCCCAGACTTGGCTTTCTCTCTCTCTCACTCTCGCTCTCACTCTGTCCCACCCACTTTGTTCAAATTAAAATGAATAAATAAATGAATAAAGTTAAATAAAATAATTCTTTAAAAAAATGGTAACTAAAATTAAGTAATTTATTAAATAGTCACTGACAGAGGGCCAACAGGTGGTATGGTGGTTAAGGCACTAGATTCCCACCTGGCGGACATTGGTTCAAGTCCTGGACCTGGAGGTTTGCTTTCTCACTTGCCTTCTCTCTCTAATGACTATAACAAGTTTTTAAAAATAACACTAATAATAAATAAAATGTTCTTAAAAAGAAAAATCACTGACAGGGACCAGCAGATGGCATAATGACTGCATCAATATACTTTTAATCTCTTGCTTATATTTACCCTCAAAACTATGAGCAGTATTGTTGTATGTGTCTTAAATGAGCTTATTTTTGAAGAAAACATGTACATTCCTAAATGAAGCAGCTAATCAACTATCTGTGTACTCAAGTGTGATGATTTGGTTTATGTTTCAAGTTGGCTGGGCCATGGTGTCCAAATATTGATTCTTCCAGTGTTCCTGTGAGGGCGTTTTTAGATGATTCACATTTAAATCAATGGCCTTTGAGTCAAGCAGATTGCACTCCATAATGTGTGTGGGCCTCCTCCATGAAGCTGAGGCCTGGCATAGGACAAGAGGCTGACCTCCTGGGGCAAGGCAGAACTCTGCCAGTCATGGCCTCTGGACTTCCTCTGCCTGTTGGTTCTTCCCTGGGTCTCCAGCCTGTTGGCCAACCCTGACGTTTGGAACTTGTCATCCTCTAGGGTCACAGGAGGAACTCCTCAAAACAAACTTCTTGTATGTACACATCCTATGGGGTCTGTTTCCCTGGAGGATTCTGACTAATGCCCGGCCGCTGGCCTTGGCAGCACTAGCAGCTGGCGGAAAGCTTAGGTTCTCTTTCCTCCCACGTCACGATGTTCTAAGGAAGGATTCCCTCTTCACCAAGGAACCAGAAAGCTATCTTGGTCAAGCCTCCAAGAGTAACTGGGGTGGGAGAGAATTTTCCTGTTGACCAAATTGTGCTTTGGCTCAAAATCCCAATCCACAGCTGGTGAAGAAAGGTCTTTCTTTCTCTTTTCTTTTTTTTTTTTAAAGTTTTTTTCCTTAGGGTGTGTGCGCTTGTCAGAGAGAGAGAGAGAGAGAGAGAGAGAGAGAGAGAGAAAGTGAGAAATCACCCCCGGGGGATTGCCATGCTGCAATCCCTTCTCTCTGTTCTCTTCCTGGGATCTTGGGTACATATGCACACATGCCTGGTGTGAGTTTCAAGCAGTCGGGTCCAGGACTCAAACTGTGGTAGGCCATGTGGGAGTTCAGCATTGTAACCGCTATGCCATCTGCTGGCCCCAGGCCTTCCTTTAAAAAAAAATATTTTAAAATTTTATTTGCCAGAAAGCACATGCACTTGCTGGAGAGAAACAGAGAGAGAAAGAGAGTGACCTTTCCCTCTAAAGGTCCCCTGCAATCCCTTCTCCTCCATCTCGCCCTCCTTTGGGGATCTTGGCATGCACACACACATGCCTAGCATGTTTCTCAAGGTTTTGGGTCCCAGACTCGAACCGTGCAGTCAGCTATGTAGGATGCAGCTGCCTTAGCCACCTCCCCACACCCTGGCTGCAGAAAGGCCTTTCTAGAAGGAACACTGCCATGGAGGCGTGGCTCTTCCCACACTTTCAATGACACTTTTCATGATTACAGATTCACTGGGCCATAATTTCACAGATATCTCCTCTTTATAGTTGTCTAATTAGAGAGACCATGTTAGTCTGCTATTGTTGCTGTTAAAATGACCACAAATTTAGCAGCTTAAAACAACACCCATTTATTACCACACAAGTTGTGTTGGTCAGGAGCTGTGGCTGTGTTCAGCTGGGTCCTCTGCTTCGGGTGTCATGAGGCCCAAATCAAGGAGTCGGCCAACTGGCTCTGTACTGGAAGATTCGAAAAGAGCTGCTCCTTTGGGCTGTGGGCAGAATCCAGGTCCTTGTGGTTGCAGAAGGACTGTTCCGTCCCTCCCCTCTGTCAGCTGGAGGTGGTTCTCAGCTTTTAGGAGCTGTTTGCAATCCTTGACTTGGTCCCTCCCCCTTCAGGGCCAATGATGTCGTCTGGAGTCTTTCTCACATGGGGAATCTCTCCACCTTCCTTTCCTCTTTCTTTCTTTCTTCCTTTTTTTAAGAGAGATTTTTATTATAAGGCACCTGTGTGTGCGTGTGCCAGAGAGAGAGAGAGAGAGAGAGAGAGAAAGACAGAGAGATAGAAAGCGAGAAATCATCCCCCATTGGGGTGTCCACACCTCAATCCCTTCTCTATTCTCTTCTTGGGATTTTGGGCACGCATGCACACAGGTCTTGTGTGAGTTTTAAGCTGCTGGATCTTGGACTTGAACCATGGTCGACTATGTGGAAGTCCAGCAATGTAACCATTATGCCATCTGCCGGTCCCATTCTTCTTCTGTTTCAAGAGCTCATGTCATTGCATCAGATCCACTCAAATAATCCAGAATAATCTCCTTATTTTAAGGTCAGCTGATTAATAGCCTTCATTACATTGGCAGAGACTCTTTTGCCTTGTTAAATAATATTACCACGGGCCTGATATGAGAGGGTAAAGGTCACAGGGGCCCAAATTCTGCTTACCACAAGGGCCACAGAGGTAGGCCTGGTCAAGTACGCTCAGAGCTCATCTGGAAGGCAGAATTCTCATAGCTTTCAGTGGCCAGCTTTCCCAACCTAGAGACACCAAAGATCAGTCTTTAGATAAACCCCAGGATCATGCCGATGACCTGGATCAAGCCTGCAAAGGGTACGAGACCCTTCATGAACTTGCATTAAAGCATCAGAGAGAGGCTCACTACTATGCAGCTATTGAGGCGCCTGGCTCAAAGCATCTTTGAGCCAGACAGACAGGCGTGGGCTGAGGAGGACAGCAGTGAGGACCTGTGGGAACTTCGGGTATACGAGGGAAGGTAGAGAAACAAGTAATGGTGGTTGAGGGGTCTGTAAGGCTAAGTGTAGATGAAGAAAGTTGCATAGGAGGGACCAGCAGTTAGCATAATGGCTATGTCACTGGACTCCCATGTAGTCAACCGCGGTTCGAGTCCTGGACCTGGTGGCTTAAACTCACGCTGGGCGCATGTGCGTGCGTGCCCAAGATCCCAAGAGGAGAATGGAGGAGAAGGGATTGCGGTGTGGCCATCCCCCCTGTGGGGTGATTTCTCGCTTTCTGTCTCCCTGTCTCTCTCTGTCTCTCTGGTGAGCGCACGCACCCTGTAGCAAAAACCTCTCCAAAAAAGAAGAAAAAAATTTTAAAAAAAGAAAGTTGCATAGGAGAAAGAGAAAAGCTGAGATTAAAGGAGGGTAAGCAGGATCCAGGACAGAGAACCATCCTGCAGAAGTACAAGGACTAGGAAAGGAGGGGAGAAAACAGTGAGGTGCAGAGGACCAAGGAAAACAGTGGGCACTGGCCCTGTGGTTAAGGGAGTCAGATCCCACATGACTGACTGTGGTTCGAATCCCAGCCCTAGCAACTTGAATAACACATGGGACACATATGTGTGCATACCCTAAATCCTAACAGAATGGGGAAATGGAGAAGGGATTGTAGTGTGACCATTCCCCACTAGAGGGTGCTTTCTCTCTCTCGTTCTAGTGAGCACAAGTGCACCCTGGCAATTAGAAAAAAAAAAAAATCTAAGAAAATAAATAGATATAGTCCTACTTGTCTGTTTTCAGAATTATTGCCTGTGTTTGGGGGTCCTATTTAGGAAGTCTGTGCCTACTCCAGTGTCTCCGAGTTTTCCCAACAGATGAATGGATTGAAAAATTATGGCACTTACACATTATGGAATACTACTCAGCCAATAAAAACAATGAAACCCTGACATTTTACACAAAGTGGATGAAAATGGGGAAAATTCAGTACTAAGCGAAGCAAGCCAGATTATGAAAGACACTCATTGTATGTCCCCACTTAATATATACTGAATATTGGCACTCCAAGGCAGAGACTGAAAGATTCGAAGGTATAATAGCGGGGAGGGCAACTGTGGATGCTGGAGCCAGTGTTGGAGGGGGTGAGGAGTGGGAAGTGGACAAGTGAGGAACAGGGGAAAAAAGAAAAGCATTTATCAGACACAAAATGAAAAGCTATCTGTAGATGATAACGCATATGGTAATATCTTTGACTTGACTGATATGCATTGTATGCATGCTGGGAAATATCATGTTGTATGTTATAAAAATGCACCGTGATTACATGTAAATTTTTAAAAAGTAATCATGAAACATTAAAAAAAAAGAAAACAAATGGAAAGAAAGAGAAAATGAGAAATATAAAAAGAGAGAGGGGAAAAAGAAGTCCTAGAGGCCAAAGGAAAATTCGCTTCACATAAATATAATCCAGAATTTGGAACTCCTCTCCTTAAAGCCATGCAGTGGATTCCACCCATTTCATGTGAAAGCTAAATCCTAAGTGGCCTCAAGGCCCGGGGTCTGTGCACGCCCCCTCTCTGAGACTATCTCTACCACCTCCCTCTCCTTTGCCCTCTGGTCACACGAGTCTCCGTGACAGGGCCTTTGTACCTTAGTACCCTGTAAGTTTGCTTACTTCTCTCTGGGCTCTGCTCAAATGTCACCTTAGTGGAGCTAGTTCTGCCCACCCTGTAAAATAGCCCCAACTCCCGCTCTTCTCCCACTTCCGGACTTCTCATCTTCCTTTACGTTTCTCCTCTGCTCTTTCCTCAGCTGACAAGTGTATTGCTGTCATTTGTTTCTTAGTGACTCCTGTTTGTGTTTGTTTACTGCTACATCCTGGGGCCTAGACGGGTGCCGGTCATGGAGTAGAAGCTCCCAGAGCATTTGTCAAAAGGGCGAATAAATCACATATTCTACAGGGTGTTGTTTGCTTGGTTTAAGACAATAGTGCTTGAGGTTTATGATTACAGTAATAACAATAATGACTCACACTCACATAGCACTTTAAAATAATGATTGAGATGTGTGCTGTATTTGCCCAGGGCATCCAGGAGCCTAGGAAGCTGGTTCCCAGATCACATCTTTCCTGAGATCCCCGAACGGATTCCAAGTTCAAGGCAAAACGCAGCAAGTGCACCACTTTACGGTTAACTGGACTCCAACCCAGATCCCAGGCCAGAGCTCTGAGAGGTGGGGCTGATCAGGCATAGAAATCCTTATTTGATTCTTAGGTTATAAATTAAAACATAAAGTGATATAGGTCCTGCCCTCCGCCCCCCACCCGGGGCTCCAAATGGGGAATTTCATCTCACCTTAGACTTCCAAAGAAGAAATGATGTAGTCAGACAGCTTGGTCCGCACCGGGGCGGCAGGACATGGGGACATTGGTCAGGGTTCTTGTGACTACATGTGATAGGAACTCAGTTCAAAGCTCAGGGGAAAGATGGGGGCCTTATCCGCCCCCCCGCCCAGAAAGCCCCTGAGTGAAATGCTGGCGGTGGCCGACCCGGGCCTCTGATGATGCCCTTGGCGTCTCTCAGGTGTGTTTTCTCTATCCTGGCCTTTGGTCTCTCCTCCCAAAGACTGGCCCTCGTTCTGTCCTACTTTAGACACGGGTGACCACTAGTGGCCACTTAAAAGTGACACCTGGTGTTTCAAACAGAGGAGAGACAGGCTTCAGAGCTGGCTTCAGAAGAACCTTAAGGAGGACCGACTGGTCCAGCTGGGTCAGGTACTGACCCCTCAGGGCACAGGGCGAGACCCCAGGATTTGTAGCTCTCCAGGGCTGTGGGAGGAGACAGAGCCCTGCAAAGAGACAGGAGGGGATAGAAAAGCCGAGACAAGGCTAGGGCAGTGCCCAGCACGTTGGTCGGCTTGTGCTTTCTCTCTGTCTCTTTTTCTCTCCCTCCCCCGTCTACATGTGCGTGCATGCACGCACACACACACACACACACACACACACACACACACAGCCTGAGTGCCGGAATGAAGTATTTTCCTAAGGGAAAAAAGAAGAAGGTACCAGAGGCCTTTGTGTCAGTGCCAGCTTTGCCCGACTCATTTGTCCCCGCACGCATTTATTGCCTCTCTGTAACTTCTCAGTGATAAAAACCGTTGAATTGGGAAGTCATTGGTCCATGATGGCTCCAGCACCTCAGGTTTCTACATAAGCAAACTGAACTTCGGTGTAAATAAGAAAACGAAACTTAAGCTCAACCAATCTGAAAATGCCAACCAACCTCTAGTTAGGGACTTTCCGCCGGATCACACCCAAGTAAGACAAACCCCAGGCAGAAGCCAATCGAGTGCTTCGTCTCCTTTGTTTTCATATTCAGCCTACAGATGTCCTTGGCTCTCAGGGTGGAGTGGAGCTCTCAGAAAACCACCAGTCTGGGGTGCTGCCCAGTTCATGACTCCTTTAATGCTCAGATAAACTGTTAAATTCGTTTTGTATGACTTTTTTCTTTTAACACCAGACAGTGTTCAGGGAGTGGGGAAATAAGAGACTACAGCAGGGAACTCATATGCTGGGGACCAAGCCAGGCAGACACGTAACGACTGGACAGGAATTCAGAGCTGCCTGGGCAGGGGATGAGGCAGGTCTCAACCTACCATCAAGACGTTTCAGCAGAAACTCACACAAGAGAAGACTCTCTCAGAGAGCTGGGAATGGTGGCAACCATAGAAAGGGTGCAGTGGGAGATTTCAGTGTGGACCTGCAGAGGTCTAACTTGAAGGAGGCACAAGAAGGGGACCGTAATAAATTCAGAAGATGGGGCCAGCAGGTGGCATGGTGGTTAAGGTGCTGGATTCCCACATGGCTGATGGTGGTTTGAGTCCCTGACTGGCGGCTTGAAAAGCACAACAAATAAGTAGATAAATAAATGTTAACTAGATAAATAAGCAAATAATAAAAAATTCAGGAGGCTTCTGTTTGGGGAAGGGAAGGTTTGTGTGGGATAAAACAGTAGAGAAAGCTGAGAAGGAAGGTGGACGCAGGAATTGAGGGCAGAACAAAGGAACAGGAGACAGCAACATCGGAAAGATGAACAATTCTGGGGCAAAGGAATGCTTGAGAGGAAACGGGCGTGGACTGTGTTTAAGTCAAGTTTTCAAGTCTTTTGGGAATATCTGTAGCCTTCACCCATCAGAAGTAGGTGGGGCAAGGATATGTATCCTCCCACCCCCGGCAGTTCCCCAGACAGTAGAAGTTTCCAGCACCTGTCAGCTTCTTCCCACGTGCCTGGTGGGAATTTTTCAGGCACTGAGGAGCTCACAGGGCTGCCAGTGGGAGGGCATGGAAACTCCTAGCAGTTGTTGGTCCCTGGGAAAACTCCAGCCTGTAGGGTGTGGTGGTGAGAGCACGTGCAGTCTCCCCATGTGGGTTCGCTGGCTTCTCAGAGGGTTCCCATAGGGACCAGGCCCCAGATATCCACTCGTTTTTTGGTGGGACATTGGCTGAAATTCCTCTTCCCACCTCCATCACATGAGGGCCTGGGTCTCTCTCTCCCAAGTCCTTGCCTCAGGCCTGCCCCCCTGGGGAGCTGAACTAGGCCAGGGCCTCACTTTCCCTA